AGTTTCATAAAAAGCAACAGACCTTTCACTGTTGTGGGCAAGTCGAGGTGGGGAATTTTAAATCATGTCTGTAAAAAAAGTCAGTTTGCCAACTTGACCATTATATCTAAGTTGAAGTACTAACAGCTTCAGTCAGCTCTAAGGCTAGCACACTTATGTCAGATCCAGGGCAAAGTATGATTGCCTACAACATGCAGAGGATGTACCTTAAGAGTTCCCACTTGCACATACAGTGCATTCAGACTTCTAGTATGCTTTCTTCACTGAAATCCATGTGAAGGCAACTGTGCCCATTACCTTTCTCACCAATGTGGCATAACATGACAGAAGCCACCAGGAAGGGAAAGCATTTGTTTTGACACATTGTTTCAGAGAGTTCATGGCTCCAGGGTAATGCTGAATTTCACAGCTGAGGGAAAATGTGCTGTTCATCTTATTATAGTCAGGAAGCAGAGAGAAAGAGTTGCGGGACGGGGCCAGGATAAGCTATGGCCTCTAAGATCATGTAGCCAGTAACCTGCTTCTTCCATGTTGGCCCCACCCCTACCAACTCCCCCAAATGCCACCATTTATGAATACTTCTAGGCTTAATATGTTCACTGGGCCAGAGCCATTATGATCTAATTATCTCTGGAAAGTTCCTCACAGACACACCCAGGTGTGTGATTTACCAATATCCTAGGTGCTTAAAAGTCCAATTAAGTTGATAAGTTAACCAGCAGAGTAACTGGAAAGGATGGTCAACTTGAATACTCAGAATGCTCTTAATCATAGTGTCCAGAGCAAAATAATTCAAAACACAAGTGAAACTGAATAGAAACCAAAGATACATCCAGACTTTTCTTCCTCACCAGATATTCAGTCATCATGCAATTTTTTTGTAAATCTTATAAAAGATAATATATGCATATGTTTGTAAGTAATCAAATCTCACTCATTATCGCCAGTTTTCAGCTGTGTGGTACAGCAGTGACGTCCCCATTTTCTAATTCTCTTCTTGTTTTTATTTTTTATTCAATGTTCCCTTTTTATTTTAGGTCTAGCAAGACTAGATGGGCTGGAAGACATAGTGGCTCGTACCTGTATTTGTGAGACTTGGGAGTCTGGGGCAGGAGGATCACCATGAATTCAAGTTAGTATAGGTTGCCGATTGAGACCTGGTCTCATAAAACAAAAGCAAATTTTTAAAAGGGTTAGAAGCGTTATGTGTTTGCTACTTGTCCTGTTGCTATGACAAAGAATGTGACAGAAGCAATCTGAGGAATAAGGATTTATTTGGGTCAGAGTGATACCATCCATCAAGGCAGAAGTACCTGCACGGATCACACTGTACCCACAGTAGAGAAGCAGAGAAAACTGAGTGCTGGTGTTCAGCTAGTTTTCTTCTGTTTATTTCACATGGTATCCCATCTCAGGGGATGTTTCTGCCCACGTTTGGGCTTGTTCTTCTCACTTGAGTTTACCTAATCTAGGTGATCCTTCAGACATATGCCCGGAAGCTTGACCCTTCCATGACTCCAGATCTCTGAGCTGAAGACTAACTACTACAGCCTGGTAGTTCTCTCTGGGCTCTTGTAATAATTGCAGACTATCCTTTCACACATGATGCAGATTTCACAGTTGATATGGAACAAAGCTTTTGTCAAACATGTTGATAACTCCCACTATCCTTTTCCAATACAGGTTCAATACTGAACTTTCTGTGGGAAGCTCTGTAAAATGCCGAAGCCTCCTTTTGTGTCGGTGGTCATTCCCCTCTGCACAGATAGGCATCGCCACTCTCATCCTTTGTCATTGCTGGTTCCTTATTATGAAGGAGCATGAGAACCCTCTGCCCACATATGGAAAGTGACTTCCAGAAAGAACACAGGCAGAAAAGGGGTCCCTAGCCACACTGAAACCACAAATTCCACATCTGTGTCTTGTTCCAGTCAAGGATGCATTCTCCCTTAAAGGGGTGCTGGCTGCTTTTTGTTCCTTAATCTTCTCTTATCCTCTGAGTGTGTGTTACATTGTATGTGATCACAGAAGAGCAAGCCAGCCTTGTCTGAGAGCGTTAGAGGAGTGTCCCAGGAGGGATGACATTTCTTAAATATTTTTTTTTTACAAAGACTCACAGCTTGTCAGCTTGAAACATACCATGTTGCTCTTTCAAATACACATCAATTAAGTGTGTAGTTTGTTACTTTTCTGGTAGACATGGTAGTGTCTTATCAATTCATCCTAACTTCTGCCCCCATCTGTGACTCTCCAGAACAGATCTGTAATGCTAACGGAAGGAAACAGAAAACTCACCAAGAGGATTGAATCTGTTATTAATGGTGCTGTGATCTCATCTACCAAAGGAGTGACTGCATACTGATTATTTTGAGGAGAAAAGGATAAAGCTTCAGTTCCAGTCTATAGTCATACCACCTTCAATGTACTTCATCTCTTCTGAACAGAGAGATCAGCAGTAAAAAATATGCAGGGACTGGTAATTGTATTGTGATTCTCTGATCAGGTCCCCTTTTGTTCCTCCTGGCCTCCATGTGTCCAGCCTGATGTTCAGAGCATGGCTTGCACAAGAACACTGTCAAACAAAGCTCAATATTCATACTGTTCACAACCCTGGTGTTCTCTGTGAAAAATATAAATGAGTCACTTATGACTGTCAGTAAATTATTCCAGACATCTAAGACTAATATCGTTGAAGTGACTGGAAAAAAATTAACCTATAATTTGTAAACCTTTTCCCTTCCCCCTGACATATTACACACACACACACACACACACACAGAGAGAGAGAGAGAGAGAGAGAGAGAGAGAGAGAGAGAGAGAGAGAGAGACATATAGATAGAGATATATAGATATACAGATATACATATATACAGATATACAGATATATAGATTATAGATATATATCTGTCCAAAAGGACTTCTTTTTTAGTTTTTTTGTTATTGAAAATAATTTTCATACAATAGATTCTGATTATGCTTCCCCTCCCCCAACTGTTTCTAGCTCATTCCTCTCCTTCATCCAGAGCCACAGCCTTTCTTCTGTAGAAAGAAGTGATCTAGTCAAAGTGCAAAATAATGTGCTCTTTGTTAACTATAGATTGTGTGCTGTTTTGGACAGTATTTTTATGTGTAGTATTCTATTGCATTTATCTTAATTCCTAAGTAATTTATATTCTCTAATTACAAGAAACAAGTTGTTCAGCTAATCATAGAAAAGGGCTAGATGATGCTTCCGTTGTTAAAGTGTTTGCCTTGTAGACATGAGAACCTGAATTCAATGTCTAGAACACACATACAATAGCTAGTAGACACTAGGAATCTCATAATCGGGATTAGTCACAGGTAGATTCCTGCCACTTGCTAGCTAGCCTTCTCTGTGTGCTCCAGTCCAGGGGGAGACTCTGTCTCAAAAGAACACAGTGAATGGCTTCAGAGAGCTGATACCTGAGGTTGATCTCTGATCTCCAGATGCACAGGCTCAAAACTGTGCACCACCCCCACGCATACAGAGAAGGCTTCCAAAGATATGGAGGCGGGGGGAATAATTTTAGAATGTCTGTTGTAGGAACACTTTAAAAGCTTTAAAAGCTATGCTGTTCTTCCAGTCTCATGATTGTGTCTGCCTGGTACTCTGAGTGGAGCTTCATTTCTGGCGGTGCTCTGGGGGGGACAGCTACGGTGTGTCTATTCACTAAGTCCACTGTAGTCTTCTCCATTCACTCTCTTCTGTTAGGGGCGTGCAATAAACATGGAAGTCCTAGAATTGGAGTCCTCGCTGTCACTGAGAGAAACCTGGGCAGATACTTAATCCTTGAGTCTGAAAGGAAACTGTGCGGGAGTTAAAGAGGTTTTTGCTCCGTCTGGAGACGGCAGCTCATTTCTGTTTCAGCGGCGTTGTAGGCTCATTTCTGTTGCTGTGGTAAAATACCCCGACACAAACCAACTTAGAGGAGCAGAGTTTCCTTTTAACTCCAGTTCCAGGGGACAGTCCATCACCATAGAGAAGTCACAGAGACAGGAGCTGAGACAGGGGGTCACATCATACCCACAGTTAAGAGCAAAGAGAATAGAGCTCATAAGCATTTGCTTGCTTGCTTGTGCTCAGCTCAGTTTCTCCACTCTGATGAAGTTCAGCCTAGGGAATGAGTGTTGCCACCCATAATGGGCTGGGTCATCCCATTAATGTAATTAAGATAATTCCCTATGGACATAGCCACAGACTAACTCAGTGAAGACACTCCGTCACTGAGATTCCCTTTCCAAGTAATTCTAGGTTGTCATGTTGACATTTAGCTTTTAACCATCACAGATAACATTGTAGTCACTTTTGTTATAACAATGAAGTTTTCCTTTTATGTATTGAAGGGTAACTTTCTGTTTGCACTATGCAATAAACTCCCTTGAAAGTGAAAGGGTTTGTTTCTTCTTATTTTTGACGTTAATAAACCTGGTTATGTATTTCTTCTTCCCTCAATTATTTTGTGACCATCCCCTGTGAAGCTAGTTATCTTAGAGATCTTATTTTATGTTTCAGGTATATAGCAGGCCATCAGCAGAAGTTTACCTCAGCAGCAAGTGGGTAGTTCCATAAGTAGAAGCCTCTGTGCATTTCATTTGGATAAAGAGGGATGAAATGATATTAATTCATAACTTGTTTTAATGGAAGTTATTGATGAAGAACAGGGGGTTAAATGATTTTTGTTTAAGTATTCAAAAAGGCATAGCTTAACCTGAGACAAAATTAAATGATATATAAATGTGTTCTGAATTGAAGAAATCTTTCCAGTAAATAAGGTTGTGGTTGGTCCATCAGAGGAGATCAGATGAAAGTGGCTGGGGACATCTTATTCATGTGTCCCCCTTGGGGCAGACGACAAATGAGGTCATAGCTCTAGTTTCATTGACTCTTTTGACTGACATATCCACAACCCCTGCTCTCTACTGACAGACTACGTGTTTATGTTAAATTTTCTAATTCCATATTTCTTTTTCCTCTTTAGAGCAAATCCCCGAGACACTATCAGGAATGTCTTCCTTAAGTGGGAAAGTACAAACCGTCCTGGGCCTTGTAGAACCCAGCCAACTGGGCCGCACCCTGACCCATGAGCATCTGACAATGACCTTTGACAACTTTTACTGCCCACCTCCTCCATGCCACGAAGCTACCTCCAAGGAACCTATCATGATGAAAAATTTATTTTGGATTCAGAAGAATCCCTATTCCCATCGAGAGAACCTTCAGTTGAATCAGGAGGTAGAAGCCATAAGAGAAGAACTGTTGTATTTCAAGGCTAAGGGTGGAGGAGCCTTGGTGGAGAACACGACCACTGGGCTCAGCAGGGATGTGCATACACTGAAGAGGCTGGCCGAGCAGACTGGAGTCCATATCATAGCTGGAGCTGGGTTTTATGTGGATGCAACTCACTCTGCAGAGACCAGAGCCATGTCAGTGGAGCAGGTAAAAAGCACTACTTAGAATGTTGTTCGTATATAAGTTCAGGACACACTAAATGTGATTGGTTCAGATAAAGCTGGATATGAGAAAAAAAATAACTAGCTCACAAAGACATTTGCCGACTGGAACCCAGATTAGTCAGACTCTGTATCTTTCTGGTGTTGAGGAAGGAGCACTCAACACACTCGTCATTGACAATTCCAATGTGTTAATGCTTAGTCTGTACGAATCCTATCAGAGCCCAGTGGTTCTGCTTCAGTCTCTTTGTAAACCTCGTCTTCCCATCAAAAGCTGCTTCAGCTTTCCCCTCGGGTTTTATAATAACCAGCAAGGAAAATTCACAGTAGGGTGAGACTTGGCAGGCAGAGACTTGGTACGTTTGCAAATACAGCCTCTTCTCTTATTACAAGCCAGGAGGGGCGGGAGAAGATCTGTTCTCTTATTTGTAATATTAAGTAAGAATGGGCAGAAGGGAGCAAAGTTTGCAAGGACCGGAAGAAAGAAGTTTCAGGGCTCTGTTGCCCATGTGTGTGTTCTCTTGTTAAACGTATGTGTCAGTTTACATGCATTTACATATAGTATGTATTCCTATATATTATTTCCCATAACTTGTTTCAAAGGTACAAAATGTCAGGTAAACCCTTGGTAAAATATCTCTTAGTATTTAAAATGACTTTTTAAATATTTTCATCTGCATTATATCCCAATAAGCTTTTAAATATATACATTTGTATTAGTTGAAGACTGAGCTAATGAAAAGGATGATATTCTTGTCAAACCATCCTTTAAAGCAAGGAATGTAAATATTGTGTAATGAGTTTTCTAGACTGAATGAAGGATAGAATAAAAGAAGTACTTGGTACAGTTGACAGATTCAGTGACATCTACAGGTGCTGTTCCCAGATTAAAATAAAGAACCCCCTTTTTTTTTCATTCTGAACATACAGACTTTCTACTGTATCTTCAAATTATAAGATTCATAACTCTTATTATAACTTGTTGAATTTGCAGTTTAGTCAGAAAAAAATGCTGTGTGAATGCTGACATTTGTGTGCCTGTGTGTGCATGTGTGTGTATGCATGTATGTGTGAGTGTGTATTGTGTTAATATATGTGCACATGCATGGCAGGGGACGTGTATGTGGAAGCTGGAGGACATCATCCTTGGGAAAACTGCACACCTCCTTTGAGGTGAGGTCTCTCATTGGCCTGGAGCTAGTTGGTGATATGCCATACCAGCTGTGCAGTGAGCCCCTGGGACCCAACCATCTCTGTCTCCCCAGTGCTGGGATTGCCAGTTCACACCACCACACCAAGCTTTCTTCTGTGAGGTCTGGGGATGGAAACAGGATCTTCATGAATGTGAGGCTCCATCCTCCCTATCCCTTACCCCCATCCAGCTCTGAACAACATCCAAGATTTGTATAACATGAGCTTATTTGGAAATATTTCACAATCTGTAACATAGACTCATTCTTATTCTTCCTTAGCTTACAGAAGTCCTTATTAATGAAATTCTCCATGGAGCTGATGGCACCAGTATCAAGTGTGGAGTTATTGGAGAAATCGGCTGCTCCTGGCCTTTGACTGACAGTGAGAAAAGGGTACTTCAGGCTACAGCTCACGCCCAGGCTCAGCTTGGCTGTCCTGTCATCATCCATCCTGGACGGAACCCAGGTGCACCATTCCAGATCATCCGTATACTGCAAGAAGCAGGGGCAGACATCTCCAAAACAGTCATGTCCCACCTTGACAGGTAAGTGGGTCACCACACTAACCGGCGTAGACCACTGTGCAACTGAGGGATTGTCAAGTGGGAAAGTCGCTGGTGATGAGAGTAATGAAATACTAATCTGACGGGGATCTACAGTAGCTACCTGGAAGATAATTTTTCCCAACGGTGAGTGTTAGACATAGGGTCTCACACATACAATTATCTCACACTCTACCACTAAATTATACCCATAGCTCCTGGAAGGCAGTGCCTATGAAGCCTTGTGATGAGCATAAATCAAAATCAGTGCTGTAATCTGTCCCTCTTGTGTGTCACATTCTATCTGAAACATTTTATAAAGGCACTTTCTTGGTCCTCCATAACTCTTCAGCACAGGTATTCCTGTCTGCTTCAATTATTTGTCTTATGATATGATATCATGAACATGATGATCCTGCTTGTTCAGTATTTGCCAACAATGGGGACATAAATACGTCTATAAATATAAATACAGAGAGGACAAATGGTTTTACCCCGAAAAGAAACTCAAAGTGTAGGTGCTTATGTTTCTGCTGCCTGTTTTTGGTTTCAGAAATTGAAATTATTAATATACTGGTAAATATTGTGTTTTCACTCAGGCACATTGGTATTTATGGCTGCTATAACAATTACAACACACCAAGCAACTCAAAATGATGGAAGTTTATTCTCTCATGGTTTTGAATGGGGAAGTCTGAAATCAAGACTCAGACCTCAGAACTGTGGTGTTCCTCAGTCTGTGGCTGCATGGCTAGTTTCTGCTTCTGCTTCCCAAGGCCTTGGATTTATAGCTGTCTTTTCTTTCATCTCTAAGGACATTTGTTGTTGAATCTAGGACCCACTCGTAATAGAATGAGATTGTGTAAAGCTCCTTAATTATATCTATAAAACCCCTTTTCTTAAGTAAGGGTAACTTTCAGAGCTTCCTAGGATTAAAACTCAGATGTGGTTTTACAGGGTGCCATTCAACTGTCATATTAGAGGCTTGACTATGTAAACCAATGCTTAGCTGCTGCTAATATGCAAACATGTAACAATGTTGCCATGTTAATCCTAAACCTTTACATTCCCTTCGTTAGGTAGACAAACTTGTTTTTTAAACACTCTTACACTGTAGCTCAGCTGACTTAAGAACTCCAGACCTTCCTACTTCAGCCTTCTAAGTACTAGACTGCAGGCATGCACATCCATTCTTGGCCCTTCTTTTTCCCTTTGCTGGGGTTTGCTGCTCCTGCTGCTCCTCCTGCTGCTGCTGTTGCTTATTTGCTTGTTTTACAAATACATGTAACATAACATTTATCATCTTAAATATTTGAAGCATGCAATTTAGGAGACTTTCTCCTCCAGGTTGTAGTGGAGAACATTCTGCTTTCCCTTTCCATGAATCTGAACACAAAATACTTCAAATGAGTGGAAATACACGTTACTTTTCATGATTACATTTTTTACAAGAGAGACTGTCAAAAATCACAGACACCAGGAATGCCCACCCTTGCTGGATAAAAGTCGTGGTTATAGATACTCAAGACCTGTCTCTCATCTTTCCACCTACATCAGCTGCAGCAGAGGCATATACTCTAGAGAAATCTTTGCTTTCTCCCTATTCATGGACAATGAGAGATGCTGTGTTTTTGATGATGGGGAAGCTTCCCGTGTATCTCCAAACTGATCTCCCCTCCTACTCGTTCCCAAGCTCCTTAGCTCTCAAGGCCCCTCACAGAATGCTTGCTTGACTCCCCTTGCTGGTCATTTTCTCACCCCCCCATTGCTTCTGCCCAGGAAAGAGCCTTAACTTTGCCAGTAGCCCCAACCAAGCATTTGAAAACAGAGACTATTTTCTCTTCAGTTTTATTCAGTGTTTTATATGGACTTAGTTGGAAAGGTTTTTTGTGAACATTTAGTCTGCCACACTGCTTGAAACTGGATCAAGATGCTCCTTGAAGCAGACTCTAACTATCCCTACATCTCTACTTTTTCACAGTTAGACATTAAGTTAGAAAATTATGCTTGGCACAAATAGAAAATAAGTTTTTATTGTAAATTGTGAAACAAACCTGTGCTATCACAACAATATTTCCTAGCTTATGAGAAATTAACCAATATAAAAAGTACTAGTATTTATTTTCTAGTGATATGCACATATGTTTTCACTAGACTTATATACACATATATGCATGTATATACTTTTATATTAAATGATAAAGATATATTACCTGATATCCATTGGCTACAAGTTCAGTATTTCTCTCTTGGATGGCCCAGGATTGAATGGAATTGTTGACCTGACACCACACAAGTCCCAAGCATTCTGACACAGCCTGAGGCAATCCCTCTACAGTTACCCACTCAGCACCCATGGTATGGATCATTTGGGATTCCAGTTTATGACAAAAAAGAAAAAGAAAAAAAAGAAAAGAAAGAAAAAGAAAGAAATGAAAAGAAAAGAATTCCATGGGGAAGCAACCAGGGAAAATGGCTCTTGAAAACAAACCAAATAAAGTAACAGGAAAAGGTCAGGAGGCAGACGTAGGAAGTGGGAGCTATTTGAAGTGACTGTTCAGAGCAGACCAGTCACCAGGCTGGAGTCTGACTAGGTCGGCTTTCCACAGGCTGTCTGAGCTCAGCTGGGCAGTACATGCAATCTGATCTGTGCTCAAAGAGCAGGGGCTTCTGCTCTTTGTAATGGGGACAACTCATAAAAGAGCCTAGACACAATGCAATAGACTTTTCAAAAGAAAAAGCATTCCCTAAAACACAGCCTCTAAGCCCCCCAAATCAAATGATCAAGCATAACACCATGTCACTTCTCCCCACATTTCTGGGCAAAGGCAGAAGGTTCTGAAGCTGTGCTCTGTTAAGTTTGGGAAGTGGTGGCTTCAGGTGGCCGCTTTTGACTCATAACACAAGGGCTCTGAGGTGAGCAGGGTGATGTTCAGCTTTGACTACCTGGAAAATTACTTTGATTTTTTTCCTTAAAATGTAGATTTCACTTCAGAGAGCACAAACAATCCTATGGAAACAGTCAATTCTTTCAGAAGGTTTATGAAATCTGCATTAGGATTTACCCAGACAGGCAGGAAGTCAGGGAGGCAGACAGGCACACACATGCGTGAGCACACACACACACACACACACACACACACACATACACACACACACAACTACATACTCCCACAATAAGAACCTGTTACACAGTTATCCAAAGGGGGAGTTGGAATGCTGAAAGGAAAGAGTTAATGGATGACCAGCTCCTTGAAGACCTCCAAACCACTCTGCTATCACCTGACCACTGGTTACAAGCCTAATGTCATTAAACAAGCCACAACTTGATAAGTCTACTATGTTCCAAGCCCTCCCCTAACCATCTGTTTCCTTTAAGTTACAAGGAGCCTGTTGAAGAACAGGTTGACGGTTGTGAATGTGACCCTTTGAGACACGAATGGAGACTGTCTTGACAATGATAGCCACCTTGAGTCAACATGTATTAGACAATAACAGTGGCCCCTGTGTTCTTGTTTGGGCTTTTAATGGGAATGGCTTTGCCTGATTTGACATTTGTAATAATTTTACCATCTTCTAAAACTCTAGCCACATTTCTAGATGACAGCACCACCTTGGGGTATATCTATTATAGGTTATGTGTGCTTTAAAGAATGGCCCTCCCCACCCCACCCCCAGCTATTTTTTTTGTCATTTATTTTCAAACAGGGCTTATCATGAATGCCATATTAGAGTAGGTGTAACCATGCATATTCAATAGAATTCTTTCTTTACCAGAGAAAGCTCAGTGGGGAAAAAATTAAAAACAAAACAACAAAACAGAACAAAAAAAAAAAAAAAAACATGGCCCAAATAACAAATATTTAGCAACTATTCACCAGTTCAAATTTTGAACTTCCTGGAGGGTGACAGGCAGGTGCTATGCCTAAATCTTTTATCTTTGTGGATATCTATTTAACAAGCCAGAGAATTTTGATGGACATCCAGGGTCTGATTACGGGCATGATAATTAAGGGTATGAAGAGAGTGAATCACTCTCTTTGAAAACTACTCCCTGGGGATGGTAAAGGAATTTGACCCAAGGGTATCTGAAAGACCAGAAGGAAAAACCCAGGAATGGGCCAAAAACATTTTGTTCTCTTTGCCTTTGATCACACATGCCAAATTGGCCCAACTCTTGGAAGGATACAAATCTGACACTTTTTTTCCCCACCATGCTGTTAATTAGATGAAAAGAGTGAAATACCACTTCATTCATTCAACAAATATTTGAGTGACTAATTACCATATGTATATATCAAACATTGGTCTGAAATTCTTTCAAAGTGATTATTTAATTATAATTGTGATGACTTTTAACCTTAAGACTTTCTTTGAAAAGGCATTAAAAAAAAATAGTTCTGCAGGATCCATGGAGCTGTACCCATGTAATTCCCATAAGTTCTAATGAATTAATTTGAAGTCATTCAGAAACAGTTCCAAGCATATGTCTAGCAAATGGGAATCGAACAAAACATCTTTGTATTGCTAAATAGTACAGTAGCATTCTTAAAAAGAATAATTGGGGCACTGCACACCCACAGGGGTCTGTGGTGTTTAGAGTCTCATAAATACAGCTTCATTTCTTAACCGCTTAGAGTGAGCAGGATGCATGTACATGCATTGCAAACACTTTGTACAAAATGCATCAAGAAAAATGAGTGTGCGAGGTATAGCATGTGCAGCCTGCATCTCACACACAGCAAAAAAACAGTCCTTCAGTCTGGCTTGGATCCAACAGCAAAGGATGAGCAAATGAAAATTTTTAGTAGAAAATATTGATTAATAACAGTTTCTTTCCTATAATGACTAATGCTTGCTGACATGTCTGGCTTCATCGTGTGACATGTGTGATCTCACTGTGGAATATGTGTGAATGTAGATTACATGCATGGCAAACTAGGCACCTTTTGACATGGCGTCTTTGCTGCTGCTATGTGGTGTGGATTTCAGTAATATATTTT